AGATTTTAGATGGATCAAGTCTTCATTCAATTTGGTCTGAAGCTCACTAGGAGTAGAGGCTGCGCAGTAGATCGCCATGTCATCTGCAAATAGAGATGCTTGCGTATGATGTAAACAAGACGAGAGATCATTTATATACATAAAAAAAAGCAAGGGCCCCAACACACTACTCTGAGGTACACCAATAGACACTTTGCACTGGTTTGAATAACAATTATTAAGCACGGTCTTCTGGGTACGATGACTCAAATATGATTGGAACCACTGTAAGGACTTTGAGTCTACACCAACCCATTTCAGTTTTTGGAGTAGAATTGCGTGGTTGACAGTGTCAAATGCCTTCTTTAAATCCAAGTAGATGACGCCAGATACTTTACCACGATCCATATTCATTAACAACTCATCAGTGAACTGTAATAGGGCACTAGATGTAGACCGATTACGCCTAAAACCAAACTGTCTAATAGAAAGTAACTTATTCTTTTGTGAGTAATCATAAAATTGAAAATGGACAGTACGTTCAATGATCTTGCTAACGGTCGGCAGAATGGAAATTGGTCGATAATTATTACAATTAGATTTATCACCGGATTTAAATAAAGCCATGACTTTTGCGGACTTCCAGTTGTTAGGGAAATAAGACTGATCAATAGAAATATTAATCAAGTTAGTTAGTACAGGTGATATAACTTCCGAGGCGTCCTTTAAAAGCCGAGCGCTGATCTCATCAAGGCCAATAGCCTTATTTGCTTTAAGACCGCTTAATTGATCATGGACGGAATCCACAGGTATAGGTTTAAGTTCAAACCTCGAATCGGTACATGGTTGCGGTAGTACAACTTTCTTTACACGCCCGAACACTTTACTTAATGTATGACCAATCCTAGAAAAATGCTTATTAAAAACAGATGCAATAACTTTGTCATTAGTATACGTTTTGTTGTTGTACATCACGGAAGAGACCTCTTGTTGTGTCACGTTAGTTGAAAGAATTTTTTTTATGGTGCTCCACATCTGACTTCGATTCCTCAATGAGATTACAAAAATATTTTGATTTCAAACTTTTTCCTCGCGATTAGCATAATTTCTCATTTTCCGGTACATATTCCAGTGATACTTTCCATTACTCCTTCGTGCTTTACGATGAAAGTAATCACGATCTTGGCGGATGCTAATAAGATTTTCTGTCACCCACGGGGAAGAAAAACCTTTCAAACGTTTTTTTTCTTAGTGGGAGCATGTTGATTTGCAACGCTGCAAAACAAATGCTCCCAAAGGGAAACAGCATCGTCAACCGAATCAGCCGCTTCAATGACATTCCATGGAACACTACTAAGGTCATCAACAAATGGTTGTTTACAATAATTCTTAAAAGATCTTGACTCGTGTATACGCGGCGGCAGTTTCTGAACGCCACCCCATCTATCAACATGGAAACTTATCCTCATCTGGTAAGTAGTCAAGTACCACATATTTTATTATATGAATGAATGAATGAACGAATGAACGAATGAATGAACGAATGAATGAACGAACGAACGAACGAATGAACGAATGAATGAATGAATGAACAACTTTATTTAAAGAGGGTAAAAACACATGACAGCAATATAACTGAAAAATCTGTGGCCCTCATATAAAATATATACAAAATTATTGATTCTACTTTAAAACGTCTATAAGCTACTTACTTAATGTATTAAGTAGGAAAAATATATAAAAGGTCTTACGATTATAAATTCATATATACAAATTATAGAATTTACTGATCACAATAATAATTCAAAGCGATCGATACCCTTATATGAATCTAAGAAATAGTTCTTAAGGGCAAACTTAAAGTACATTTATACAGACAGTAATACAGTAAAACAATCTTTGTGTAATATTTTAAACAGTCAAAACATAGCAGGCATTAAGCCCGCCGCACACGAGCGCACTTGTTGCGCGTACTTGTTATTAGTGACAAGTTGGATCGACAAAATTTCCTCGTGTGCGGGCAACATTTACGGCATTTTTGTCATTCGTGTCATGTAAACCAAATATCAAACATAAGCGCCATCAAATGTAGTGTTAGAGCAAAGGTTAAGATGTTACCAGTTAAAATACTTATACATTTTGGTTTTACCCATCACTAATAATTAAACAAAATTTTTACAAACGTTTTTAAATGCTATTAAAAGAGTCCCCACCCTCCCTCCTCATTACATTGTCATTTTGATTTCTAACATAAATGTTTTTGTTTAAAGCAAGAATGATGAATAAATGTACTGGATATTGGCTAGGTTATTTTGTCAGAACAACCCACTTGCAAGACAATCTTACCTAAATTCATTAGTATGTAAAATAACTTCACAACTACAATAATCATATATTATATGCATGGGTCAGATCAATAGCACACAATGTACAGAACTAAACTTGTGATACCTTCTACTCAAACCGATATTCTCCCAAATTGTTTTTGTTTGGATATATATGCTGTGTTAAACTGAAAAGCATATATGCATGGTATGTCATTAACTGTGTGCACAAGACTGGAATTGAATCATATACTTTACCCATGACCTTCAAAACATTCTCTATTATTCAGTGATCTTCGATATATGATTGACCTCTTTGCTACTGGAATATGTCTTCCTCAAACTCAAAAATAGTTTGTGTATGTTACTCAACAGTTAATTAACATTGACAAGTATGAACAACAAGTGACAGAACTTTTGTTTCATATAAATGCAATTTTAAAAGACAATTGTAAATATATTTCTAGGAGTCTAAGTAAAGATGCCAAATGGTTTCAAATAGTCTCCCAGCCCTCTTCTTCCTTAATATTAGAATTTTCATTTAAATAAATAAATATTATTGGGCAAAATCAAATAAATAAAAAATAAATAAATAAAAATAAATAAAGTTTTAAAAATTAAATGAGTATGGATTGAATTCACAAGTGACAGTTTACTGCATAGCTGCCGGGCTGCATAATTATCCATAACAATCATAATCACATTATAAAATTAGTCATATTTTCTCGTGGGGGGTCAGTTGCCCTTGTTCCCCTGTCCGCTGTGTACAGCCCTGCATTTTGCATTTTGTGAGTTTTGATTTAATAGAAAATTTAACCTATGTTCATTCAAACATTAAAACTGCTTTTGCCGATAAACTATATTTTTTAATATAACACAATAAGTTCAAATTGTTGAGCAATTTCAGTTTGGCCTCCTTCACATTTTGTTTTTTTCCCTTAAATTAAACAGAGTAATTTAGGAAACTTACAGCTTCATTGAAAAAAAAAAAGCCGTGCATGTTTTGGGCAAAAGATTAAAGCAACAACATATGAAAACATAAACATTCAAAGCAATTTTGCCTTATATTTCATCATTTCCAATAGTAAATCAATTCTTCTCACTTCTTCAAATAAAAATTGCTTTAAAGCTCACTGTATGAAACGTTTTGAGAAAAAAAATCACATGGCCACGATTACTGATGAACTTTAGGATTTGCTAATGCTTTGATCCTTTCCTCGGGTGTAAATAGCAAAGTGGAATTAGCACCCTCGGCCGGGGCTGCCGCTCGGAACAGGGCGCCGTTGGCACGGGGACTAAACCAAAATTTTTATCTCTTCGATTAAATTTTGGAAGCTAGATCACTAATCAACACAGCTACAGTATTGTATTTCTCCTGAACACCCTGTTTTTAAATTTAAATGTTTTTTCAATTACCATTGTATCTTGTACTCACACCTGCAATACAAACCTGGTTAAATTGGTCAACCTCCTCCTTTCCATTTTCTGCTTTCCCAGCAATCAGCATCAATTTACTTTGAACATCCTTTATTTCTTCCAAGCTATAAATCTTTTCTTCTCGATTCTTAATTTCGTCTTTAGGAACAACAAGGCATACCAAATTCTCAAGGCACAATTTAACGCCATTGTCCACATGTTTACTTTCTTTAGCTTTTTCGCTGTCTGCAATGTAGTAAATACCAGAGGAATTGATTGCTTTAACTTGAAACATAGTTGTGAGAGCGACAGAACCATGTGACTCTTTAATTTGCTTCAACCAAGACAGGCTTCGCTTTGTTAACCCCTTAAAGGGAAATGCACTGTTAGTAAATATGTATTAATCATTATAATTATTTCATTAGAACAATTATACAAGTGATTTAATTTTTCGCTGAGCAAGCAATATTGAATTTCTGTCAACTCAGGACAAAAAATATGTGTAAAACTATCACTTGGTACTTTCTCTGAATTGTTATTGACTGTTCTTCATCTGCATAACATGATTTATTACCATGCAGCGGGGGAGAGATGCGTTTAAATATCTAGGTATTATTAAATATTATGATAATAATTTTGCTTTAGGTTTCGGTTTACAAGTCTTTCTGTCTTCAGTTAGTTAGGGTTTAATGACTATTTATATTTAAAATTATTTCAGGTTTAAAACAACTCACCAGTTTTTCTTCAATGCCCGGATTTGCGTCAACGGCTTGCCATACCGGTTGACAAAGTCGCATTAATTCATTAAAACCATGATCTGTTCTGCAACCAAATATTAATGATCCAAACCCAAGACAACTGGTGTGCATACAGGAAATTCGGTCAATATCCCTATCATCTTCGCCAGCAGAAATCATCGCCAAATCAACAAACACTTTAAGCTCTTGTTCATCTGGAACGGAGTTCAAAACGGACAATACTTTTCTGGGAAACTGTCAATTGGTAATGATGTCCATATATTCTAATATTCCGAATCACAAACTTAAATTGGGTTCACTTTGTCTGAGTAGTTAGGTAACTTCAAAGATAAAAGTAACAAGTAGTTATCTTCAAGCCCGAGGAAATGACTGCCCTAAATATTACCGACATTAAGGCCTATCTAATATACAATTAAAGTGCTAATTGAGGACTATTAATTTGATAATTCATTTCAAAAGTGCATTTTTATTTTAGAATTAGGTCAAAAGTTCAAAACGTTTATTCATCAGCCCAGAGAACACTCCAAATTTCATTTAAGACATGGACCAAACTTATCCACGAAATTTGTAATGCAAGTACTTGCTTTTTTCGTCTGGTTTCTAAGTCAACATGTCAAGGTGGATGATGCAACAGACGTTCAGAAACAACACAGCATCAGACTGATGTAAGTTAATAAACAAAATAAAAGAAGGGGCAGATATAGATCCACGTATTTGCACATACAACCTGCACAGCTTTGCCGCTGGCAATCATTTTCGTTTCTTGTTAATTTCGCAGTGGCTCATTACCTTTTACGCTCTCTCTTAACCAAGTAACCAGATCAAAACATTTTGTAAATGCCGTTAAACAACGTCGCCTCGTCGGGTTTATATCCTTTAACAGTTCTCCAGCTCTACGCAAATTGTCACTCACTGAATTGATAGCTTGAGTTTCAAATCTCCCACCGATAATCTGAAAACACAAGACATAAATAAACCATCACTCATAGAGCATAGGCTACTTAGGTATATTTAATTAGATTGCTAGTTATCAAGCAGAATCATTTGCGCGCGTGTTTTACCTGCATTTCGCCCACTTTTTAACCCTCTCAAACAATTTCTGCATAATAACCGTAGCTCAAATGGAGAAAACAACAGAGTAAATCCTCAAGGCAAGTAGGGTTTTTGGGCTATATATGACTAGTTTTTGAAGGTGCATGACGAAAAAAGTTTAAAAAACCTACATAAATTATGGTGGATCGACACAGTTAGATAGAGTAATTTATTATAATTATATAAAACAATATCTAAAGAGTTAGTTTTTGCCAAAGCTACATAACCACTCTTGCTATGGCAACAATGACATTTCAATATGGTTTTATAATAATTTAATTCCAAAAAGACTTCGGTGACCCTATATATTTTATTCCATAAATGCCTTCCCTCAGTAAATTGAACTATTAAAAAAATTCTGTTGACCCAAAGTTCTCCAAATTGGGTAAATTTGATTGTCTAGAATAAATTTTGTTTAACTGGATAAAAAATTATATGATTCAACATGCCAAAAAAGTACTTAATATAGAATAAAATATGGGGGTCACCGAAGTTTTTTTCGACATTGAAACGTCAATGTTGTCATAGCAATGGAGTAATATAACCGTTATGAAAAGTTCAAAACATTTGGATGTTATATTATACAAGTAAGAAAATATCTGCTTTTCAACAAGTAATAATTGGCCAAAAATACGTGAAATATATTTACGATTGTTTTTTAAAATTGTAAATCTAAACCGTGTATATTTTTTCATTTCGTAAAAAATGTATCAAAACAATGTATTTTGCATGTAACTAGAAAGCTTGATAAACTTCAGAAATTTCAAAATCGTGCGGCAAGAATAATTGCTGGCGCAAGTTACGAAATTGAATCTGCTGTCGTTCTTGAAACTCTTGGTTGGGAAGACAGAAGATGAAGTCCATTCTCCTGTATAAAATTGTAAACGATTATAATGCTCCTAACTTGAAAGAATCAATGACTGGGAGCAGCTTAACGAATTATAATTTAAGAAATAGCTATGGTCCACATGATTTCAGACTGATGCCGTAAGACCAACAAATAACTGCCAAGGGTTAATTAACTTCAAGGTGGCTCTTTACAGTTTACTAGAAAATGGAAGGTCTCCGATGAAGACCCAATTTTTCGACAATTCCTATTTGTTAAAAGACAAAAGAAGTAGGCCTACGAATGGAAAAAGAATAACTACAAAGTTGGATTTTTTTCGAAAGAAAGGAATCGCAACTACCGTTGTTATGGCAACAATGACAATTCGATATGGCCGATATTTTTGGTTTAAAGTGATTTAACTTGAAAATAAAGTCGGTTACCCCCATTTTTTATTTCATAACAAAAATTCGTTTAGTAATTCTGTCATGCGTAAAAAAGTCGTTACGTTTTATTACATTTTTCGATCTTGAAAAATTTTGGCATGACATAATTATTTTTAAATCATGAAAATAATTCAAAATACCAAAAGAAATTATGCTATAAAATAAAAAAAGGGGCCACCGACTTTATTTTCGAGTCAAATTACTTTAAGCCGCTAATATTCGCCATATTGAAACGTCATTGTTGCCATAGGAACGGTTGTTAAGTTTTTAAAAACTCTGCAACCTTAAGAATGGAAAATTGAAGATTTAGATCCGTATTGTTTGAGAATTATTACTCGTTGAAAAACAAAAAAGTATGTTACTGATGTAAAACAACATCTACACAAAGGGTTTGAATTTTTTACAAAAGCTACGCAACTGGCGGATACGCCTTCGGTGACCCCCAAATTTTAGTTAATAAAATGATTTCTTTTAGCTAATATAGTAACATTCAATTATTTTGACAATTTAAAAAAAATTCTGTTGAGGCAAAATTTTTCAAATTACGTAAATGTGATTATTCATAATAATTGTTTGGCTCATGCAACAGAATTTTTTTAAACATTAGGTGTTGTTTTACATCAATAAGAGAGGTATACTATTGCTCGAGTCAGGATTCGAGCCAGGACTCGAGTCAAGACTCGTGCCAGGACTCGAATCAAGACTCGTGCCAGGACTCGAGTCAGGACTCGAGTCAAAGACTCGATCAAAAAAATGCGAAAATACGGGGAATTGCCATTGCCCAATGTTTTTATTTCATAGGACGTTACGCACGCTAGCTAAATGTTCTACTACTAGCAAATTAAACACATCCTTTCGATAATTACGCCAATAACCTTGCGTAACTGATTAGTTACCAATGAGAGCAAGGTTCCAAGACCAAAAAGTATGTGTGACGTAATTATCGAAAGGGTGTATTTGCATGGTAATACAGTTGGCAAGCATGGCCGGCTCTTCAAAGGCGAATTCTCCGCCTTACAAATATACCAAATATAAACTATCGTTCTTTAGTTCTTTTATCGACTCTGGTGGGAAAAGGCCGAAATTGATTTGGTAAACAAATTCTCTCACTTCCCGTTCGCGAAACATTCCTTAGGTTATCGATAAACAATTCATCAGATTCAGTTAAATTTCCTTAAACATTTCGCATTGTTGGTGAACGAACAGTTCAAGGAAAATTTAAGGAAAGTTCCTTAAAAGCGAGAACGTTGTTAGTAAATTTTCATCCATCAAAATCACCTGACGTCAACCTGTCATTTTTGGCTCGAATCCTGAATCGAGTGCTGGCTCGAGTCCTAGCTCGAGTCCTGGCTCTAATCCTGGCTAGATAAATAGGTACCCTCTCAATAAGATACTTTTTGTTTTTGAACAAGTAATAATTGTTATTATTACAAATTCAAATTTATGGATGGTACAGATTTCAGGTTCAAAAAATAAGATTTGAATTAGCAAAAACATGAGCGAGTGCTTGCATTCTCACTGTACTACACTACACTACACTACACTACACTACACTACACTACACTACACTACACTACACTACACTACACTACACTACACTACACTACACTACACTACACTACACTACACTACACTACACTACACTGCACGAGTTTAAAGTTGAGATAACCCATATATTTTGGGAAAACTATGCCCTGAGAGAACAGTCATGCAACAAAAAAATATAGTCTAACCTCTTTAATATTTTCGACTTCTGAAAAATCGCCTTCCAGACCCATCACCTCTTGTAACTCTAGAATCGCTAGAGCAGCTTGCTGAGCATCAAAAAGTTGTTTATAACTCTTTACTTTTTTTATACTGACCCCAAGTTTCTTCTTTACCTCACCCAAATGTGCTGTGCCAATGAAATATCGTGAAATCAGCATGAACTCCTCCTCCAAGGCGTCGTAGTCCGTCTTGCACATAACTAAATATTTATCAACTTTTTTGAGTTGCATTTCACCATCAAGAAATTGTTCATTTATTGACTTGAGTTTGTCAAGAATTCTTGACCAAATCTTGTTGAATATAACATCCATTGTCACAAATTCATCTTTCAATTTTTCGCCGTATTTCTGCCATAACTTCTTAAATATTTGACTGTATTTTATCACAGTTATTTTCGATACCATCTCGTAAAACTTGTCATCGAGGTTAAAAAACACCACGTCGTATCCCCCAGATCGTGTAGTGCATAAATCGCGTATAGATAATTCATTATAATCTTGCATAATTTTGTAACGCAATGTACGAAGTTCCTCATCAACTAAAAGTATAACATGGTAAAAATTGTAAAAAATATCGCTATTTTGGATTGCATATAGGCGAGTTTAAGAAAAAGTATTGTTGGGGATGTGGGTTATTTTTTCTTCTTAGATCATAAGTTCCTCAACTGAAAAAAACTTGATAATACGACTAAGTAGATCATAAACTAGAAATACATGCATGCAGCAAACCCCTCACCTATATTTTCCAAAATTGATTTAACATGAAGTATTGGCATTTTGCCTACACAGAACGCAGGTTCGCGTTGTACGTCAAGTGTTCCTAGGCGGAATTAGTCCCTCGCTCAGGCTAGCGCCGTTGGCTCGAGTATTATTCTAACAGAAATGCTGAAGTCTTAACTTGCTAGTTACCTCGTTTGCTTTGTTATATTGCGAGAGAATATATCCAGACGGGAAGGTTTTACCGTACACCTCGGAATATAAGTTACTTACAACGAATGTGCCTCCACTATGACCTTCCAAAGAGAGTTATCCCTAAATATTTAATCGTAAAATCTCAGAAAACAATTTCCTCATGCGTAATGTCATCTAATATTTAGCACACCTGCATGGGAGTTAAGTGATGATGTTTGAAGGTTGGGGTCATACATGATATTATAATGGCTGACTATATGAGTTCAGGGGCGGATCCAGACCGTTGTAACTGTAGCATATGCTACGGTCAGATTTTCCAAGGAAAGTTTTCAAAGTCAGTCAAATTTGTGATGCCACTCTGAGTGTGTATCCACACCGGGCGAGCTTGAAAAATATGCCCGGCCACGGCGGGATTCGAACCTACGACCTCCGGAACACCAGCCCAACGCTCCTCCAACTGAGCTACGCGGTCAGGACGGTTCGAGTAAGTGATATTTCGGAACAGTATCTAGTTCCATCGATACCAGTGTAATCTTGTAATATGATTTTTTTCTGTGTTGGTGTTGTGTACTCAGGTGAATATGATATTTGTGATGCCACTCTGAGTACACAACACCAACACAGAAAAAAATCAGTCAAATTATTTAAAAATATTACTTAAGTATATTGATGTAATCTTGTTTACATTCAAATTTTCAATTTCAGGATTTTATGCAATTCAGGTTAAATCGATCGTTTTCAACCTTTTTACGTACCGTGGCATATTCCTTCCGGGTGGCGCACGCGTGAAACCTGCCGTTCCGCCCGAAGAACTGCCTTTCCGCCCAAAAAACGGGTATTTTCAGTTAAATACGTAAATATTCAAATCTAAAATTATCAAACCAAAGTAAGTATCATATCAACCATGCTGATAAGCATGCAGAATACTTAATTTAAGTTAAAATTTTGTTTTTAATCTATACCCAAACTACTTGCCAATTGGCATTTTAGATGTTGAGATCCACCCGATTAGCGCGTTTGACGCCGGCTGACAGCCGGAAATTTTGTCTCCGATTGCTCGGCTGCCAGCCGGGCTGTACTATAGTATACTATTCGTTCAAAAAATGCGCGCATTTCGGAGACTGGTTCTAGATTGTTTCATAAGCAGA